AAGCGCTTGAACGCATCGCTGCGGGATTAGGTGTTGGAATAGCACACCGACCCAGAGCTACCGTGCACAACAGGGTGATGAAAATCAGGAACCGGCTTAACCCAACAGAGCAAAGTGGGTTAGTGTATTTAATCGCATACATGAACATAAGCTGGCTGTGCAAGAGGGCGTCAAAGTATCGCAAGTAGCCGCTCCCACCTAAGAAACGGACCATGTGATCAACTTCGCAGCCGTCAAGATACCCGTCCACGCCGAGAAGAAGACGAGGCGAGAATTGTTTGAAACCTCGTCCACGGATGGTAACTCAATCGATCGATGCATTGATTTCGCGTCGGTGTACAGAGACCTGCGTAGTCACCTCCAGATGTGTGTCGATGATAGTTAACTGGTGTATACTCCCTAGATTTGCCTCCTCCCTTTTTGTTACTGCTGTTACCTAGGGAGCCGAACTCCTTTACGAGTTTGAAATTTCAGAACAATGAGCAAACTGTTCCGGTGCTTGACTACCCTCCTCCTTTGCAAATGTACATACCTGGAGCGTGAAAGAGGGACGAGTTTTATGAAACAAGAACAATGATGCAAACAAAACGTTTACAATGTTTTTGATTCAACAGACGGTCAAGGTCAATTCGCCAGCAAGGAGTATTAGCTGTCAGGAAGTGGCAAACCACATCAGGGATAAAGAGTGCGTCCTGAAAATCTTCTCTGGCCACAACATACTCCCCGCCAGCACTGTCCTTCGTCTTCGCAAGCACGCACAGTCAGAGTGTAGGCAGCTGCGCTCTCATGACATGCAGCTATAAGACTATTTGTTTGTCAAGAAAATACCCCAAAAGAAGGCTATGCCAATAAAGCTAAAATACGAGAGTATCGGAACTCTTTTGGCACAATCTTGGTCATATCAAGGATCGAAAAGAAATGTGGAACACGAATGGAAGCGGGTTTTCGAGCCTCAGCTTCTTGTTGCAAAGAAGACAAAAGCACGATGACTGGGACGGCAGTTGTATAACTCCGAGCTTTCGGTACCGTACAGAAGGCCATCATCAGAGAAAATGAGGGTACAGCAAAAATTGGCATATCTTGTAGTCCAGCTACGAGAAAGTGAGGGTGGGGAAGGGGTTGACATTCTTAGTTGATTGAGTTTACTCTCACGTCTTCTTACCGTATCGTCTCGGCATCTGTCTTTGACATCATGGCATGCCTCCTTGGCGTTGTGGCGTACGTCCTTGGATATGAATTGGGCCGGGCTTCTTGCTCGCTTGAATGGCGGGCAAACTTACAGGGCGGTATATACGCGTGCCTGTTGATGGAGTTGGAGTCAGACACCCATGTCTCCACTAGTTCTCCCCCCTGTCTTATTACTGGCTTATGCCATTATCCGCATGCCCATAAAGTTGAATTCACGGCTTTCGTGGTGTGGGTGGTGATCTGGGACAATATGTTGTCTTTCCGCACTGCCAGTTTGTGCTCCGTTATTCGCCTGCTCTGCCCTGTATAATGCCAAGAACAGTCACGACACAGCACTTGATACACGATACCAAACGGATCAACTAACTCCAGTGAGTCTTTTACTTGCATGATCCGCAAACGCATCGTAGCTGTTGGAAGATGAGCAACACCCATGCCGAGCTCTGCAGCGATAAGTTCCGTCGCTTCTGACACGTTCTTTATATCCGTTGGGGGGTGTCAGAGTGATGGTGGCACTCCTCTGTTTGTTCTATTTGTTTGTGCGATTTGTTCTCGTTAGTCTTATGTTCGCACTACCTGCAGACCGGACGGTTTTAAAGGTCATGCGACAAGCATTAGTAGTCTACCTAACAAATCCCGACAGTCTGGCCGTCGGCTTCAGTAAGGTCCACAGTGTGCTGTACAGCGGGGTGGTGCAGTTACAGTGACTGGTGCTGGATTATAGTAGGATCAAACTTGAGCCGAATCTACCTCACTCACTCACCACTTTCTCATATGGATCCGGTGTCACGACAAAGTCAAGAAGGCAGGAGATGAGATAAGGCGCAAGTCCACGCACTCTGGGTCATCAGAAACAGAAAACCACAGCGAAATTTGAGGCGACTCAGATCCCAGCTGATTAGGAGGGCCATAAAGGCCACAATAAGAAGATGCCATTTCAGCCTCACTCTCGGTCCGCCAATCAGCCACTCTACAT